ACTATGTTATTCTTTCAGTGTGTTTATTTCCTTTCTTCCTTTCATTTCTCTTATCTGCATGTATTATCACTTTGTAGGTAATAAATATATCTATATTAACTGTAAAAACAATACAAAAATTCAATAACCCATTTATTCCCACTATCTGACCCAAACCTCCCCCCATAAGGGAGGCATGGACCAAATAACTAATTTCAGAACGATTATATTTTTAAAGATTCCTTCGAAATAATAAAATTAAATCATGCTAGAACATCGATGGTAAAACCTTACTGATAATTCTTCAGATTTAAACCGTCTTTCTCTTTCAATTTAATCACTACTACATATTAATTCACCCAAAACTACCCACTCTCCCCTCCCGGAAATACCCCCCCTCCCTTTGTTGACCTAAAAGGACCAAGGGGAGGCGTCATGGCGGTCGAACGGCGAAAGGAAGCGGAAACATTTCCCCTTGCCGCTGGACATTAATCCGACATCCAACGTATATCTGCCTCAGACTCCGCTCTCTCTCTAGCTTCTAATGGTCAAAGACATTAAGTTCCTAACTTTTTACCGTATTATCTACCCCCCTCACCGTCCGTTTATCGTCGTTCCCTTCGTTCGCTATCTTTCTCGACGAGGACTCATCCTCAAAGCATACAGTGCCAACGAGTACGCTCCCAGCGGTTCTCATTTCGTTTCCCAGCGCGCACAGTTTACGCCAACCTCGGAACACAATTCGTTGGGTTCTTTTTGTTTCACCGTTGGAAGATCCCACCACCCTATAACGGTATTTTATGGCCGTCGATGATGGGCTGGGTACGTTCACGTGGGCTGGCCCGAAAAAAAAACGAAAGGGCGTCGGGGGGCCGTCGCGCGAAATAATTAGTGACCGAGGACCGACCTGGGGCGCAAGTCAAGTTTATTGTCCGAGTGGTTCTCAAGCTGTAAACAGATTATTCACGGGACAAACGGGATAACGATAACGGAGGCCGGATAAGTGATTCCTCGTGATAGTCTAAGAATATATGGTTGTCTACGACCGAGGAAACTGTTCTACTTTCGACTGCTCCGTGAATTCGTCGCGATGGGAAACGAAAATTGAAATACAATTAGAGAACAGAGAGAATTCTGTACGATCGTATATCACGAATTCTTACATTGTTCGGTGAACATTTATTTTAGGGGTAAGTACACATTTGCATGGAGCTTTCAATGTGAGAAAATTTTGTTAAATGTAATGAAGGAAATCTAAGGAGTTTAAAGAATGCAATGAAGTATCATAAGAACCCGTGTAAAAATAATTTTTTATCCCCTATTACGTAATCTAACACAACTATTTGCATTTACTTAACACGTAAAGCATAATTGTCAGTTCATCAACAATAGGTCAAAGAAATACACAGAATTATCTAACTTAAATTTGTTTCGCCCAATTTGAACAAATTAGGTACAGCACTCTCTTTATTCAAAAATATGTGTTATCTTTATTGACTTCAATCTTTTAACACTAGATTTACCAAAGATTCTCTGATATTCATTTTGAAAACTATTGCATGGTTCAGTCTTCACACTAATATCTAAAAAGAAATTGCACTTTAATTCTAGAGAGTCATCAAAGTATGAATAAAAGAGCCACACATTTCCTAATCCATTCTCAATGCGTTAACGTGAATACGTTAACTCCATTTGCAACAGTTCTCGCTCCAAATCGCGTCTAATCGCGAAAAGGTTTCGGAACGATTTAGAAGGTTTCAGGGTATAGAATAGATTTCGTGTTACGGAGCCCATTAAACGTTTCGTAATACTTATTTAAACCGACCGATTCTAATCTTTCAACTTTGATACCGACGTCTTCGACCGTTTCCCAATTTATAACCTTGGCCCTGGCCAATGGTGTTCAACTCGTTAACACTGGAACTACGAGCATTGAGTGTATACTAAATCAACATTGTATAATATACAGGGTGTTGAAAAAAAAAGGTCCAAGATTAGGAGCTTATAGTACTTACCGAATCGAGTAAAAAATGTCTAATCAACACAGGTCCTAAAATCAATCCCTTCAAAGAAAACTGCAAAAATTTGTTATCACCTTTGTTACAGATATTCCATATGTCCATATGTTTTATTCATGAAATTCACATCTATGGATCATAGATCGACGTACGTTTTCTAATATTCCTTCAGTATCTCGTATTGCCTCTTGTCGTACAAGTTTGAATTAATGTATTTCTAAATCAATTTGTCCGTTTACATTCAATATGTTGCAAAGAGTATAATATAACTTCAAGTAAATGAGAAAAAACCGTTTATAAACTTATTGCTCCGACTTAAAATTAAAAAAACAGAACACTAATCGAAAGATATACTTTCATACAACAAACAGTAGTTATTGAGTTGATAAATTTTCATTTCAATTTTCGATGTACTTTTCAAATCTGGAGCTGCACCCAACTTGCAAAACAGTAATGGATGCAGGTGCAAAATTTGAAAGAAATCGCCCATTTATTGTAAGATTTAAATCAAACGTGCACCAAACGATGTAGATTCTTTCACGAATATTACGCGTCATAACTAAAAAGCTGTCCAAAATGGACTTGCACCCCTCTCGCTGCAAAGTAAAAATTTTGTCAAATGGTAACGAACGAAAAACGGCATTAGACGGTTCCAAAATATTAAAATATTCTTGTAAATCATTTGCCTACATGTCATGTAATATACATGAAAATAGAGCAAAATGTTTCTCCGGTAATTTTTAAACAATTCGGGAATGAAAGGGGTTAACCGTGGAAACGTGCGTGCAGAGAGGAACGTTTCATTATCTTCCGCGCGGCTGGCACGAACGTGATGTATCTCTCGTGTGAATGAGCGACCACCGCCGCGAAACGCGCATAATTACGCAAAGAATCGCGGGGTATCAACAGCCGGGGCTCTCCGCTTCCACCGCGACGCGTCATTTGTTTACAAACAGGCGCGTCCCGTGCTCGCCGGAGAATCGGCATTAATCGATCGAGAACGGTCACATAAGTATATGTGACATAACTGTCTCAATCGCCGCGGCCATCGATTTATCGCCCGTAACAATAACCCCAATCCACCGTGTTAGAGTCGCGGAAGTGCCGTCGACAAAACAGATCAACCCCTTTCGCGACCGTCGAACGAGCAACGAATAAGAATGGCGGTAAAAGTTTGCTTACGCGACGATATAAAATAAGTTTCTCGAGATTGTCACTCGTGATTTCGAAACTTAACCTTCATCCCTATCACATTTTTTTAACTTAACCCTTTCATTCCCGAATTATTTAGAAATTAGCGAAGAAATATTTTGTTGTATTTTTGTGTATATTACATGACGTACAAATGATTCGCGGGAACATTTGAACTTTTTGAAATCGTCTAATGCCATTTTCATTCATTGTTATCTGATAACTTTTTTTACTTTTATTACAGTTATACAGTTGGTAAAAAAAGTATTCGCACAAGTGGAAAAATGTTTTCAATGTGTTTAACGTGAACTGATTGAGAAACATTTGTAGTGGCATAATTTTGCGTGCTAGATTTAATTGCTGATATTAATGCTAGATTTTAATGCTGCATCTTGATTTAATTCTGTTCACAATGATTCCTTATAATTACGATATACTTCAGGCAAAAGAACCGAGTGCTCTACAGAAGAAACTTTCTTATATGTATATCATATTTTCTTAAATATTCAGTAAATAAATATAATATAGATTTTAAAATACTAAGTAAGTGAATAATAAAGTATCTACTAAAAGAATAACTGTTATCAATTCGTGCAAGAATGAAAATGATAATTTATGTGATCGCGATAGAACGAAGAATTTTTGGAACTAAAAATTTAATCGAAGTAATCTTTGTTATTCGAATCTTAAATATTATTACTACCAGTTTATACAAATATCGTAAGTCTTTGTCTGGGCAGAATAAGTATTAATAAATAATTTATGGAGTTATCCTTTGGTCGAAATCAAAACATGATTAATTCAACTGATCAGCTACCGGCACGCTGTCCTGAATATTCCACTTCAAACTTTTCCGTTTAGATTAAGGTTATAAGAGCATTCTGTGTTTACATCAGGCATCGGCCTCCCGAAAGGCAAGCCTTCGTTGTACGTCTTCCGAAGAGCGTGAGGCTCTCGCCGGCTGCGAACTTCGCTAATAAATTAACTCTACGATAACTACTCCAGTCTATAATTAAAACACACTAACGAAACAAAATCAACGACCTACTCGAGTATGTTAGAACAGTACAACTTCGTTTCTTTACTATTCTTCACGATCGTTTTACTATCGTCGTTCGTATCCAAACAAACAAATATTGTACATGCTCCATGAACGTATGTGCAAAAATGTTGCCCTTCAAGGTGACCTTAATTTCATACACTAGGTTTAATCAAATTAATGTTTACGTTTTACATACAGTTTCAAAATGAATGGTCAGTATTGTATAAAGTATATGTCTGATGTGAAAGATAAAAATATTCACACAATCCATTTTGTTCCTGATCCACCAGGGCTAATGTCTACGATTTACTTGTATAATAACTACAATTCTCCTAAAAACATTCACGTGATTCTAAAAATCCGAAATAATTACTTGAAATTACTCCTATTTGACAGAAACCTGAGATATCTACAGAAAATAATCTTTTATAAAACATAACTGAAACATAAAATATATAAATATCACGTTCAACAATGTGTATAATTTATCAAGGTTATACGCCAATTGAAGTCTAGAATATGTCACAATCAGTACTTCGTCGCCATAAAATACCGACTGCAAGTTCAGCTACTTCAAATATCACTCCAAACAAGAACCCCTGACGATTCCAAGAACGTTAATTTAAACAATAATATCAATCACTATATAAATGTCTATCTATCACTCTCGCGCGAAACAGAACCCCCAAACGCCGTTTCATTCGAAGCAAAATATTTCCCTCGACTCCGTATGAATTACACACAACAACAACAACAGCAAACGGACTTACCATTCGAATTCGTGCCGCGCACACAGGCTCCCACCGGCGTTTGTTTATTTATCGCGACTATTCCCTTTCCCTGGCTGGTCCAGCGTCCACGTTGCCCTCTTCCGGTACGTCCACGGACGCTGGATCACCTCGCGTCGATAATTGTCCCTGCACGCGATCCTCTCCAAGCGATTCTCCTCTGGCTTCGCTCGCGATCAGCTGAGCTCCGAACGGGCGAAACCAACAAAACACTTAGTGTTGACACGTGACCGAAATATCAAAATACAGACGAACAATAAGAAACGATCACTGTCACAGCACAAGGTGTTACTTTCTTAAAGTCAAACGGTTGTCCCACGAGAATAAAACTTTTTGTCCCTGGTGTGTATCACGTGGCCGAAATCTCGTGGCGACAATGACACCCACACACACACAACTGTCTTCTCTATTCGGTGGCAGTTTCCTCAGTCATACCCAGCCTCCTGGTTCGCCGGCACATCGTTTTCACCCTGACCGCGCACGATCTTCGGGGCCGTCTCAGCGGGCTGCTACTCGGTGTCGCGTTCGAAAACGTGGGTCGCACCTGTTCCCCATCGATAGATCGTCGACGTCGTCGCCCAGAGACGGTGTAGTCCCTCTCGCTCTGTCACACCGACGATTATTCTGCCGCGCGGCGGACACTTTCACGAGCTCCTTTTTTTCTCTCTCGACATTCGTGCCACGTTCGGAGGTACCCTCTTTCCCCCCCCCCGCCCCCCCTTCCAGTGAGTCGCGTTCACCGAGCACTTTTCACTTTACGCGAAACACCGTTAAAATATCGAATCTTTACGAAGAAAACTTCAACGCTGATTAGACATGTTCCTTCTTCCGAGTTCTCCGTTTTCGATGTTTTTTTACTCCCGGCGATTTGCTGTCGTGTGTGTATAGGACGCGCGAGACCGTGTGTTTTCCTGTTTTATTACTCTTTTTTTTTTTAAATGTCCAGCCAACGACCGCAAGATCAGTTCGACGGTTTTTCTCGCCTGTGGTTCACACCATTTCACCGGTGATCGTGATCCAACCGTTCGAAACCAGTTTCGATTCCACGGCGAAGTAACGACGGACAACACACGGATGCACTCTCTCGAAAAATGCGGCGGTCCCGCGTCTGCGCACAGCTGGCCTTCTGTCCACTGCAGGCGTCGAGTGGCGACTGTCGTTTCTTCCGAGAGTCGGCTGCTCCCTGGCCTGTCCCTTCCCCCTCCTTGCGCTGGTATCGAGGAGAGCCCCGACTACAACACCACGGATTTATGCTATTACCGCACCGTTTCCACCCCCTATGCTCCAATGCGCCTCCGCCTATGGCTAACCCGCCTTCCCGGTGGCCTCTTCTTTTCAATCGCAAACACCGTGACACGATGCTGCCTGCCGTCCCGTTTATGATTCGCTTTCGTTGCCAATTTTTCGTTGGAGTAACTATTGTAAACTAGAGATTTGTCTATTCGATAAGGTTTTCTCTGGAAAAAGCGATTGTAAATTATGATTTGCTTTATCTAATAGGTTTCTCTGGGCAGTCATTTAATATTTGATGTGTTCTAATACTTATGAACAGGGGTGTACGTAGACAAATTTCAGACTTTGTGTAATTGCGGTTTATTAAGTAATTTTTTTGCGAGAAGAAATAGTTTGTACATATTTTCGGATATAGTGGAAAAAATGTATTGTTTCTTTTTGTGATTCATTCGATACCCAGGATCTAGCGGACAATAATTTCTTCTTGATAAAAAGAAATGAATAGTAAAATATAATAACTAAAACTTCTTGATAAAACATACATCAAGATTATAGTTTTAATAATATCATGTTCGGTTGTTGCTGTTTATAGGAATGTTTAAATGAAATAAAGTATGTACGATAAAAATGTGTATGTGTCTAGATCAAGATACATGGAAGCACTTGTAGCTTTAAAGTTGTGTACAGAACTTACTTTCTACCGAGGTCACATAGACCCTAAGGGTGTGCCTTCGGGGTTAAAGCGATTATTCAAATAATACTGCATGTTCCTCGAGCAAATGTGATTTCCAGATAACGGTACATCAATTTCTTAAAGCTAATGAATTTTTTTTAAGATCACTCTTTTACCTCATTTTTGAATGAGTAAGTCTTTCTTAAAATAGTTTTAGAAGCAGATACTTTCTGATATTTTTGTATACGCTGCGTGATCAGGATTTCCACTCGTGTGCAGCTGCAATAGGTGTGCTCAGATGGAATAATAAATGACATGAAATTATGTTCCCATTGTCTTCGATTTACGATAATAATACTTAAACATTTTTTAACAATTTAGTCTGTCATACAAATAATCATAGAACGTTGTAACTTTACAGGTTTATTAGACAGTAGATCTATACAAATGCAACTAAAAATTGTAAAAATTCAATATTACTTGTCATTGTAATGGTACATTTAATATTAATAGAAATTCTGACAAAAAGTATAATTTAAAACCTAATATTTATGCAAAAAGAACAGGCAATATTTTTAACAAAGACCAACGTATCAGTACAGCAGTGGCTGATATCGAGACTGAACTTGAATCCTACTAAATAATGCAAAGATAAAATTACTTTAATGAATCCTTTTAAAAGAAGTATGATCTATAGTTCGAAAACAGATAAAAAAAATTAGTATAAAAATATAAATATACATACTGTCTTTGTTAACTAACATTCACAAAGGGACCATTTTATTTATTTCACTCGGATACATCACATCGAAGGTATAATTCTCTAGAGTTCCTGACGTTACGATACTGGTGTTGACCTTTAAATTCCGGGTATGTACATCCTTTACGATTAACTGTTAGATCCGACTGTTTTCGTGCAAGCACAGATAAAAGTGTTTTCTTTTCGATTAGAAAGATTTTCTTTTGCTGCTTAAATATTCACAAATTCGTTCCACAATCCATGGATTTGTATCCAACAACTCTATAATGTAAAAAATAAAATAAGAACGTTCGTTCGTATTCATACTTGTAACAATTTTTTACTTAATGTTTTATCCCTTTAAATGTGTTTTTATTTCCCGTCGAATGAAAAGGCAGTGAGGCGATATTACATTTAAATTGAAAGCTTCTGTAATAGCTGGTTCTTTGTGAATTTTTTTACATTTCGTTTCTTTTGTACCATGCATTTAATTTTACTCGATTGGATAGGTATACATATTAGGAAACTACTGTTCCAGAATTGGCAACCTTTTTAAAACGTTCTGACGTGCCGAAACCGGTTCAGACGTGGTTTTAGGGACCGGGTCAGATAGATATATTGGTAAAAAATAGGTTAAAAGGCCAAACGCGCCACGGAACACGATTTCTCGAAGATGATATTAACGGATGCATTTCATAACACGGATATAAACCGTGTATATTCAGTTAACTTCTGAGATAATGAATTGAATTAAACTTATTTTTACAGCTAAAATGTACTCTCCGTTTATTAAACAAAAACTGTTACTTAGTAGTGTAATTAACATTGTGAAAGCTATCACACATTAAACTACATTATATTAAATAAATATACGTTGTTACTCACTATATTAAATACCTCATATTACTGACGAGTCATTTTTATAATAACAGTAAAACGTTAATAGCCGATACTTGAGGTTTTGTTTATGGGCAGTTCTACGAAAATTGGGCCACTTGATGTGACAAAACCATAACTAATATAAAAACCTGCATTATATGTATATTATATAATATTATATATTATAATTATTATATTTTCCACTAAATTTATGTTAAGACACATTTTATAAACTTAGTAAATGATGTGTGCAATATCCTTCAAAAATTATTTTCCCTTCAGCCACCAAAACCACGTTCCCAAAGTTCCCCTAGAAAATTAGCTTCCTTCACGAATCCGCCACTTGTGCAATCTACGCGGCAACGAGCATGTACGAGGGCAACATCCCTCGATCGTACGTGTGGCTACGAGGGCACGAATTCTGGACACATCCGTGGCCTCCGGTTCACAAGTGTCTCTCGCTCGCAGGGCATCGAGGCCCCTCCTCCCCTTCCCCCACCCCCTACCGCTCTAGGCGCACCCACACAGTTGTCGCGTGCCCGCGCGCGACAACCGGCACGGTCGTGCGTGTGCACGCACGTGCGGGTGCCACGCGATTCCAGCCCCTGCGGAATAAATCAAGTGAAGAAAACCTGCCGGAAGGTATTAACGTTGGGGTCGGATGCGCCCCTCCCGGTGTCGCTTCCCCGGCGCATCGGAGAGGGTTAAGCTGTGCTCTGTGTACCCTCCCCCTTGCCCCTTACCCCTTCCCAGTAGCCCTTATCACGCGTCCCTGAAACGCCGTGTACTCCCAAGGGATCTTCTCGTCTGGATTTACTCGGCTGACACGAACGGATCCTGCCTTGGTGCACGCCTGAAGTGGACACAGGAGGGACTGAGAGTGACGAGTCACACGGCGACCAGAGTTGAGCGTAATGTAATCTAATTACAAAATCTAAATCACAATTACAATGTAATTGCAAGACAATCACAATTAAAATTACAATTACAATTACAATTACATTGTAATTAACTATACTAAATTTACGATAAAAATTACAATGTAATTGTAATTGTCCCGCAATTACATTCCAATTACATTGTAATTGCAGTTTAGATGTTGTAATTAAATTACATTTTGCCCAACTCTGATGACGACACTGTGTGTACGCGAAACCCAAGGCAGGCTGGTGACCGAACGAGCGGGACGGTGGAACTGGGAGAGACGTTGTGTCGAGTGGACAGGGAGGAACGAGGGAATCCGTTATCAGAGGTCGCGCATGACGAGACAAGCTAATTGTGTTATCGGTGCGCAACGGACGGACGTTGTGTGTCTCTACCCCCCGATGTCGTCTCGCCTCGTCACCCAACCTAGACCCCCGGCCCTTTTCGATGCGCAAAGCGCGCGCGAGTGTTTATTTTGTAAACTGTGCTAACATGCGCCCTGGGTTAGGTCCGGCAGTCGCCGCGTTGAAAATTGCAGCCGGCTGAAACGGGATCGAACCACGTTCAGGCTTTCGGGAATATTTTAAGGAGGCCACCCCCCACTCCCCCTTGTGTTCGGTGATTCCGCGTGTAGGAGCATGGATATGTGTGTTACGAACCTTGGAGTGTTCGGCCTATTCGATGGATGAAGAGGATTTAGCGTTTGTTTTTTGTGGTTAATTGTTAGGGAGTGATGATGTGAGTTTGTATGGATTGTTCTAGGTTTAGACTTTTTTTACGGTTTTGTATATTGTTTAGAGGAGGTTTTAAACGTTTTTACTCGATACTTGAATTGATACTCTTATTCAATATTATGTTCGTATATGAATTATTATTATCATTATTGTGTATATTATTCTTAAAAAAATAAAAGAATTGAAAATTTGTATTAATGTAGAGATGAAAGAATTATTTGAGTATTCATTCATATTAATGTAATGTACCGTAAACTTACAATTAATTCAACTTGAACAGTTGCTGAAGATAAATGTAAAGACAAGGTAATTTTTTTTCGACGTAATTCTTCAAGATATAGCCATGTAACTTCAGAATTCAAACAATTTTACTGTATAACCTAAGATTAAAGCGCAAATAGTAAATACGCGCAATTATGTCGCATGAAGAATGAAAATAATGAATTTACGTTTTATCGTA